AACACTTTGATAAAATCAAAACCACTTTTACTTTTCAAGTCGGGAGTCGGGATAAATATCGGCAAGGTGGAGATATTTCTCGCCGGCGCTTCCGCAACAGCAAGACTGAAGGACGCAAGTTACAAAGCGAAACATGTTTAGTCAAGTTAAAGACTTAATTACCGGCCTAACAGCGGCGATAGTGACTCCCGCTGTGAGCGACTTGCGCTGTCTATCGTAATCCCCCTATCATTAACACTGTCGGGGGCACACGCACGTTCGCCGTGCGTGTGCTATTAAAGTGACCGGGGACTAAATAGCTACACGGTACCTGATGTTCCAGTACACTTTCCAGTTGTGACAACCACATCATCAATAGCGGTATCTCCTCGGTAACCAGTTCCTCTCACTGCTTCAAAGATGATCTTATAGGGAGCACCAGCTGGAACATCAACCTCTGCTCTCTGCCAGCTGTTGCCTTGGTCACCTGAACAAAAATACAGCAATTTTATACAATTCTATATAATTTAAGTAATCAAATAGATCATGATTTCTCATCTATAATTTATCTTTATAACATGTCCAAATTCCAATCATAACTTGTAAAATAAAACCTTTTATCTCCAACAGATATTAAAAGTTATTGTTTTGCACTTTTCAAAAATCATTGAATAAATACAACTTCAATTATAACAACCAAAACATATATTAACACCAATGCTCTCACCTGAGAGTTCCCACAGTTTATTAGCAGTAGTATCCTTGTAGACCCTGAGACTGCCAGTGTCTGCACCATACATGTGGTACCAGAACTGAATACAGCTGTCACTGCTGCCCACAGCCATAGAGGTTGTAATGAGCCTTGCTATGTCCCCCTGGACCCTAGGGGAAGAGCTCTCCACATACATGTAGCTTCCTGAATTATCACCAGATTAAAGAGTGTTAAAAGGTAACATTTGATGGTAGAAGACCTAAATGTATTAATAATGAATGCAGTTTCTTGAACAGAAGAAATGCTATTAATCTGTAAATATAATTGCTTCCTAAACTAATAAAATTTGGTCTCAATTGCAATGTAGTTTTAATATATTTGTTCACCAAGGATTAATTTCTGGATTAATTTTCATTAGCATGTAGTAGCATGTAGTCTACACATATCCTAACAATATTCTAAAAAACCTAAATTTTTGTTTCATTTTGTATCTGTTATCTCGTAATTTTCTTTCTATGAATGAATCTTTTATTCTTTGTGAGTTTTATTCCAAAAGATTTTCTGGGTACACTATTTTTCTTAGAACTCTTAAAAGTATACTTAAAGAAATGTAGACCCACCTGCAGGAGTTCCATAGGTGTGGTCATTGGTAGGTCCAGTGATTGAGCTGGAAGTGCTTCCAGACTTCCGTGTCCAGTCAAACTGGTCAGTATTGTCCTGAGTGTAATTGCACACATCCTTCTCAAAGTCACATTTCACTGTAACTGTTGGGGTGACCACAGCTGTTAAGGAAAAAAGTCAGAAATCCAGCATTCATCATTTATGCACATGTTAAATAATGATAAAATACTTTTGTTTTCATAAACTCTGAATGCAAGGAAAATATATTTTGTTTTGACGTTCCTGCAAAAGGAACACATTAACAGCCTTTTAACATAATCCCATTAACTAATAATTGTTCATAAATTCAAAAGAAAAACAGAAAGTTTCAGTCCAACCTAGTATAGCAGCTTACCAGCGCAAGTTCCAGATAAAAGAGTTACATCATCCACAGCAATGTCACCTTGGTAACCAGCACCCCTTAGACCTTCAAAAACAACCTGAAAGTTAGAAAAAACATATCTGTATCAATATCCCATAACATGATATGGATATCATGGCAGTTTCAATTTCAACATCAATAAAGACATTAAAATAAACCACTTTCACAACATTTTTCAGAATTTTTACAAAAACATCACCTACTTTCAATTATCATGTCAAACACTCACCTTGTACCTGCCACGCGCCCTGATGTTCACCTGAGCCTGCACCCACTTATCCCCCTGGGTTCCAGCCCTGGTCCACACTGGGTTCCCCAGGGTGGGTCTGTTCATCACATACACATTGAGCTTGTCCACATGGGCACCGTACATGTGGTACCAGAAGGTCAAGCAGCTGGTTCCATTGGCCTGGACCATGGGACTGACCAGTCTGGCCATGTCTCCTGTAACTCTTGGACTGGAGGTCTCAATGTAGTAGTAGAAGCCAACTGTAAAAAATAAGTGATCGAAATAAATGGTTAATTTGGAGTAGGATAAGTGTTTATAAAATTATTACTTCTCTGTGGCACATCTAATTCATAATGTTTTGTTTTCTTTTTATTTTCTTTTTTTCACACAATATCACACTTGACTATTTAATCAGCTACATGTCCAGTTGTTCAAGCAGATCTAATTCCAAATCCATAAGAATTGCATCAAAATCATTAACAACAATACAACAAGACCCCCATGCAATGCTCCATTAAATCACATATTTCTTATAACAACCAACTTACCTCTAGGATCATATATCTCCCACTCTCCTTTGGCACCAAATCCTGTGGCCACTCCCATAGACCTCACAGCATAAGGTGTGGGATCCTTGTAGTCCAAAAACATGCTCTGATTAACAGTCAATCCTTGACCTACACGGATATGACCACCATCCCAACTGATCCAAAATGGCTTAAGGATGTTACAGTCCACCATCTTAGGACGGACCAAGGTGACCAAATTCTGTCCCTGAGCCTTTTCACGTATAACAGATTGTCCATTACCCCATCCACCAATGACCACCTCATATTTTTTTCTGTCCTGACTATTTGTGGTTGGTGACAAGCTGACATGGACATCATTACAGGCCTTGACCTTGAAGGTCACTGAGGTCACACCACGGAAGTCGAGGAAGATGTTCTGGTAGGTATAGGCATCTGGTGTATTTACTTTAATAGGTGCAGCTGTAATTTAAAATTGTTACTTTAAATAACTCTGCAAATTTGGCAAGTTTTCAGTACAATTTATTGACATGTTTTATACATTGGCTTCAATAAATGACAGTGGAAAAATCCATCAAATAGAGTATAATGCCAATTTCTAAAACAGACAAAAGTGGGTGTAATCTAAGCATATCAACAAATCACTATTTCTTTTTTTAAAAATTAATTCACCTTGTGGCAACTACCCAACTATCATATAAAATAAATTTAAAAAATGAAAAACTTCTGTTTTATCACAGTTTTCATTGATTTAATTTGTTTGCTTTTTTGTTGCATGATGTTCACTCACAAGTTGTGTGGTCTGTACTGGGTCCAGTACCAAATGACCCTGTCCCGCTGGACTGTCTGGTCCAGTCAAACTTGTCCGTCTTGTCCTGTGTCCACCCACAACTGTCCACATCAAAGGAACAATTGAATGACCCAGGAGCTGGAAAGGCAGGCAACTTGTATCAGTGTATGGACATAACTTAAGGTTAAGGAAATGTAGCACTTAAAAAATATTTAACTTGAAATGTTTATCTATTTTTTCTATTTGCACTTTGGCAAACAAGTTTGGCTAGAAATGAATAACAGCTTTGTAGTTCTGTTCTTAAAAAGATAACTTAAGAAATGTAAAACAAGGTCATTTTCTTGCCATATACATGATATGCACCACATTACCAAGGCAGATAACAATTTTTTAATCAGCATCAATATATTTTATCATAACACTGACATTATCAAATCTCCTTAAGTTAGTATCAATTTCCATGAAAAAAATTCCTGTAAACATACCTGTGGTTGGTGTGGGAGTTACAGAGGGGGTGGGTGTGGGTGTGGTTGTGGTCGTCTTTGTAGTCAGTACAGTGGATTGGGTAGACCCAGATGTCGCTGTTACAAAACAAAAATCAGCAACGGTAATATAAATTTACTTCTGTTCAAGGATTAACTAGATTAATATCAATAACAGAAAAAAATATGTATACTTAAATCTTTCGGTTTGAAGCGACTCAGCTCTAAGCTGTCATATGCATCAAATTTGTAAAATTTGTTAAAGACATAGAGAACACTGTTTCTATATATTTCTCATAATCTGAAGTGAAAACATGAGGGATTTACTTTACTTACCTGCACATGCAGTCTGGGCAAAGTCCACATCATCAATGGCAATATCCCCCTGGTACCCTGTTCCTCTGATGGCTTCAAACACAATCTGAGGGAAGTTTAAAGTTTGGTAAAACTTGTTTGTTTAAATATAGACATACATAAACATATACATTCTTTGATAAAAAAACAGTTGAACTGAAAAATACTGTATTTATGGTAAAGACTGTATTATTTATTATTACAAATATCTAGTAATTAAAAAAACATATAAACAGATAGTAAGTTGAACATGCAAATGGATATATATATATATATTTACCCTGTATGACTCAGAAGAAGTGCCCACAGGTGCTTGACCATACAGCCACTGGTCACCTTGATCTCCAGACAGTGTCCACACAGTGGAATTACGTCCACTCCTGGTCACTCTGATGACATTCAATGTGCCGATGTGCTGGCCATTCATGTGATACCAGAACTTCACACAGTGCTGTGGGTTGGCTGTGAAGACTTCACTTCTCAGGCGAGCCACATCTCCAAGCTTACGAGGTGAAGATGCTTCGATATAGCGGTACTTTCCTGAACAGATATTTAATTTGGACTATGAGGCTAGTATACTAAAAATGCACTTAAATAATTAAAATCACTTCATTTGTGAATTAATGTACACTGATAGACCCATATGAATAACAAAAGGAATCCATAATGGAAACAGTATATGTAAGTCATGAGAAAAAATACTTTGCTTTATATTTAAATATAATAACATAACAAACTGAAAATATAAGATTCAAGTCATCATACAAATATCACAGAGTAGAAGCTTTCCAACCTGCTGCTGTTCCTAGAGTGTGATCTGTGGATGGTCCTGTGCCTGTACTTCCAGTAGCTCCACTCCCTTCTACCCAGTCAAAGTCATCTCCAGTAAGATCATTCACCCAAGTACACAGATCTTTCTCAAAGGTACAAGCTCCTGAATGACAGAAAAGAAAAATCATTGCACAGTACAACAACAATGGCAACAGAAATAAACATAAAATTATAATTTATTAAGCATCATATAAAATCATATTTCAAAAATAAAAAAGTCCACTTGAGACAAACTATTAAAATTGAATCTGGTAGAGTTACTAAAAAATATATGGACTAGAAGGATGTTATTCTAAGATGATACACATCCCTGACCAAAACCAAAATGCTTGAAATAAATTTTAAAACCTCACTAACCTGCTGTTATGCAAGCTCCATCTTTGATGCTGACATCATCAACAGCAATATCACCTTGGTAACCAGTGCCACGTATACCTTGGAATACAATCTAGAAAGAGCAACAACACCCAAGTAACCTTACAACAGGTACATGTAGTGCTACTTGATTCTCTGATCAAATCTCTCACAGAATGACAAGGGCATAAATGGGTTACTCAAAAATACCTGTATGATTATATATTATGTACCAAGCAATTCCACACGTGGTTTGTTCTTTTCATGGATCAATAACTGAAATACAAATTTAAGTGCACATGGAAATGAAATGAGTAGGAAAGGGTGAACAGATGATTTACAATACTAAACATAAAAAAGCATGCATTACTCCTTTTAGATTTACAGTGTTGATGAAATAGAAATTATTTAAGTGCTATCTACCTGATAGCTGTAAGTTGGTGCTATTGTAACTTGGTTGATGATCCATTGGTTGCCTTGGTTACCAGACAAAGACCAAATAGTGGTGCTGCTGCTGCCTGTGTTCAGCTGGAAAATGAATGTTTTAAGATGAGATTTTAAACTGAAGAAGCAGAATGGAAATATGTGACAGGTTTTCAAAGGTTGCCTTTAAACAGTTCAAGGGTCTTAATGGGCAACAACCATATGTATTCATAAAACAAATCACTCTTGAGACTTTAATGATACCCTGGTGTGTTTTAGCCTTAGACATCCAAGCTTATTATTTCAAATAATTCCATTTTTAAGACAAGCAAGCATCAAAACATGCATAGATCTTAAAAACACATGTGACCCTTGTGAGTTCCTTATGATTTACCTTAACATTGAGTGTCCCTATATGTGTACCATACATGTGATACCAAAATGTCAGACAGATCTTCCCACCTCTAAGTCCTGGATATGTTGGGGATATTAGGTTTGCAGAATCATTTACTTTTCTTGGGCTGGATGTCTCTATGTAGACATAGCGACCTGAAGAAATGTGCATAATTATAATTTCCAAATATAAAAGTACATTAAAAAATGCAGCATATAAAGTCTGTTTGTTTCAAATTCATATTTGTAACATGTTACAAAATGATATTCAATCCAAACATGTACATAATTGGAATCAAGAAAAATAAACCAATGTGAAAATAGCCATATTTTTGTTTTATTTATCTACACCATCTTCTCAGTATCTGCTTTAGCTTGTAGGCATCATAGTCTTGCGTATACTCTTTAAATGACACCTGTTTTGCCAATTACCTGCTCCAGTCCCATAAGTGTGGTCAGTGGTAGGTCCAGTGCCTCCAGACCCTGTGGAACCACCCAGCAGTATCCAGTCAAACTGGTCACCAGTCGTGTCCTGCGTCCAGCCACAGGTGCCATTCTCAAAGGTACAGTAGGTGGACAGGGGTTTGGTACCAGAGCCTTCGTTGAAATAAAAACACCATTTTAATTTTTATGAAAGAAACATTTTGATGTATACACTTATATCTGTATTGACCACTACAACCATTCTAAAATATAATATCAACCTCAAACATAAACAAATCCTCCACAGTTAACTTTATGCTCTATATTTGACCTATGGGCATGAGCTCACAAAACCTTTAATCTCTCACCTGTGGGGTCATTTATCTCCCAGTATCCATCAGCACCATATCCAGTGGAGACAGCCAGTCCTCCTACCACAAACTTAGTTGGGTTTGTATAGTCTAGGAAAATGCCCTGACCGGTGGCCAAGCCTTGACCAACACGGATATGTCCACCATCCCAGCTGATCCAGAATGGTTTGAGTGCTCCACACTCAAGTTCCTTGGACTTGGTGGTAACAACATGGCCATTTTTGGAGTCTCTTATAACTGACTGGGTGTTGCTCCATCCCCCAATGACAGCTTCATAATTCATCTGCTCGGGACTGCTCTTTGTTGGTTGTAGTTGGATGTGACCGTCACTGCACGCCTTCAGCTTAAAACTCACCGAGGTCACTCCACTAAGATCCAGGAAAACATTCCTGTAGCCAAAGGTGTTTGGTGTGCTGAACTTGATAGGTCCACCTAATCAGAGAAAAGGGCACACAATTTGAGCCACGAAATAGGTTTAATAATGAAATTATATCAGTGTGATGATCTTAGAAGGGAGTTATGATACTGGACTGAGGAACTCATCAAAATAGAGATACAAAGTAAACAGTTAAGTGGAAATTTTATGTACATGGTGCATTTATGTCAAATACCACTGTCCCAAGACAAAAAGTACCCACAGTGCCCATTAAAATTTCATGATACAAAATTAAATGTTTCAGACTGTGGAAGATATGTTTATAACAAAAGAACAATGCTACAATGGAACAAACATGATGACTACTGGTATAAAGCATAATCTTACCTGGCTGACAGCTTCCATCAGACAGGGTGACATCATCTATAGCTATATCACCTTGCCATCCAGGACCTCTCAGGGCTTCTATAACAACCTGAAAGAGGGCAATATACTTATAGAATGCAATTAATTTAAAAGAAGAGACACAACAATATGAATTGCATATATCAGACATGTTTTTAAAAAAAACCCTCTGAACATTTATTGAATCTCAGACAAGACAAATCTCAGGAACCATCAGAATTGAATTAAAAATACAGAATTCCGCATTTCTGCAGAAAAAGCTCATGTGTGATATATTATTTTAGCCCTGACTCCATGGTCTTACAGCAAGCTAAACAATACCACAATGAAGGTTTAACATATGTAGTTATCTTTTTTTAATTCAATATTCTAATTAAATCACCAATTCATGAACTTACAGTGTACTGGGCAGTGATCCCAAGTTGTATTTCAGCCAATTTCCAAGCATTCCCCTGTGTCCCTTGCTTGGTCCAGATTGGTTTGGACAAGGAAACACTCTTAGTGTACACATTTAATTTGTCTACATGTGCTCCATACATGTGGTACCAGAATCGCAAGCACTTTCTCCACTGGCCACCAGGTGTCACTGTAGGGCTCTCAATTTGTGCTGCATCTCCTGTTTTCCTGGGATTGGAGGTTTCCACAAAAATGTAAAACCCACCTGAAAGATTAATAAAAATTTTTTTAGAGTCTGCATCTTTTTAAAGGTACATTTTACAGCAGTGTAAGGGGAAAATTGCTTTTCTTGGGTTCTTTTTGTCAAAATAATTCATTATGTAAAAAGTAATCTAAAAATAGTAAGCATTTTTCTATTCAATTAGACAATACAATATTCATTCCTGTTATCTGTATGTAAATAATCATTAAATACTCAGTTTAAATAAAGTTATACAGAAACCATTAAAAAACTAACTTCCAGTGGTGTGGTCATTAGCTGGTCCAGTCAGAGTGGACGATGTGGATCCTTTGACTCTTGTCCAGTCAAACTGATCATTCTGCAACTGTTTCCATCCACACAGACCATACTCAAAGGAACAGTTGAATGAGTTTGGTGCTAAAATAAAATAATAGATTGAGTATAACAATCAAGACTTCTATAATTAAGTTATTCACCTGCTGGTTCCAAACATTCAACTTAAATCTAAGCCCAGGGATTAATTATCATAATATTATCCTCCAGGTAAAAGTTATGAACAGCTGAATCAAGAGAAATTTGAAGTGATAAACTTAGAGAAAAAATTATGACTAACATAAAAAAACAGTTTTCAATTTTTCTTTAATTTTACAGACTCACCTGTAGATGGCGGCACAGTGACGGTGGTAGTGGCTGGTGTAGGTGTGGTGGTGAAGCTGGAGGGTCTGGCGCCAGCTGGTGAGATACCACAACCTTGGGTAGACAGACTGGTGTCATCTAGAGCAATGTCTCCAGAACCACTGCCCACAACACCTTCCAGGATGATCTACAATGATCATAGCATATCTCACCAGGCAAATCTAAATATATTATATCACATGTTTTGTTTCCAACTTTATTCTCCAAAACATTCTGAGGCTCTCTGTCATGAAATCCTATCAACATTCATTATCTTAATTTTTTCATAAATAATTTGCTCATATGAGCAAAAAATCCAAGCAAAATGTACCGGTATGTCTAAATATGTAATATGATGTTCCCAGGTTAGAAAATTTTGTAGGGGTTTTACAAACTCCTTATCATCCCTTTCATAATTTCTTTCAGGAAAGCTACCTATTATGAAAACTAATAACCTCAAACAAGCACCTACCACATACGAACTCTGAGACTGAACTGGGAAGGCGCCATATCTCCACCTATTGTATCTGCTGGCTGCCATTTCCCAGACAGTGGTGCTGGTGCCATTGGACTTGACAATGGCACGCAGGGTGCCAGCGTTGGTGTTATAGAGGTACCACCAGAACTTGAAGCATTTTGGAGAACTGCCTGTGGGGCTGAAGAGCTGACTCATCACCCTGGCGCGGTCGCCATTGTTTCGTGGTTTGCGGGCACTGATGTACATCATGCCACCTGTGGAAAGAAAAATGAAAGGTAATATGTTAGGTTATCAATGCCAAATAATAGTCAACACATGTAGCAAAAAAAATACAAATCTTCGTCTTGAGAGGATTTAGAATTGTACATCACACATCATACTAAAAGCCATATGCTCAATCTTTATAAAAAAACGATCCTGAAACTATCCTGTCAGTCCTTTTCCAGTATTCATGTATACTTACCCGATATTTATGGTCATTTTGCTCAATATTACCTGTTTGTGATTTTCCTTTTCAAATGTTGAACTATGATACGGAAATTAATTCGATCCAAACACAATGACACACTAAAATCATAGTGCACTTGTTTGAGAACACGAATGAACATCTTTGACATACCAGCAGCAGCAGAGGTGGTATGGTCAGTCCTTGGGTTTCCCGCTGGTCTGTTATTTTTCTTTATTACCCAGTCAAAGTCGTCGCTACCGTCCTGAACATTGCTGTAGGTACACATGCCATTGTCAAAATTGCAAGAACCTGGAAAGATTTATGTCTGATGAGTGAGCATTTCTTTGCAAATTGACTGCCATTGACTCATCCAAAACAGTTTTGTTATAAAATTTGAAGATTTGTTTCCATGCACTGCTCACCTTAGAAAAAACAATATTTTGTAAAAGATGCAAACAAATGGCAAAAAAAAAAAAAAAAATGACAACAAAGAATGCAGTAGATTTTGCTAGCAAAAGGTATAAATGGACCAATGAGATCCATGAAACTAAAATAGTGCACCACTTTTGATGAGTTGGTGATTATCACTCTTAGTTTAAAAATAATATAGAAGGTTGATTTGAACAATGTAACTCTATACTCTTACCTTCTGGTGGGCAGTTTCCAGGTGTCGTAATAATATCATCCAGAGCTATGTCACCTCTGTAGCCTTTATCTCGGATGCCTTCAAACACAATCTGCAAGGAGACAGATTTCATAATTTTAGAAACCATTTCAGATATCTAAAATCTAAGTTCATAAAGATTACTGGGTATGTATGATGAGATAGTATTGTTGGAGGTTGAAAAAATAACCATAACTGCTCAAGTCCTTTCATAGGGTTGACTAATATTCAAAGATTTTTGGCCACATTCTCTTAAATTTCTTTGTCCAAACAACATACCCAAACATCAGGCCTATTTCATAACATATTTAAAGCTTGACGCAAATAGCCCAACCCCAATCTGAGCTATTTATTTCAAGCATCTAGCTAAACTACAGTACTGAATCTTTTCACAATTGATTACATAAATTGAATATAGATGTCTTATTGTCAAAAGAACTTTAATTAAAAAGCCTCCTAACCTGGTAAGATGACCTTTGGTTAAGCTGGACCTGTGCCACCTTCCATACATCCTCCTGGTCATAGCTGCTGCTCCACACTGGTTGTCCCAGGTTGGTGCCACTCTTCATGTACACATTGAATGTGCCTACATCACCTCCAAACATGTGGTACCAGAACTTTAAGCACTGACGGCCAGCGCCTCTGATCATGGGAGAAATCAGTCGAGCTTTGTCATTTGGAACACGCGGACTAGATGTTTCTATGAAGACATAGTAACCTGAAAGTAGGAAATTGAAGATATAAACAGCATAACAAGTATGAGAAGTTAAGCTATTCAGAAAGCATGAGCACACAAAAAAGTAAACCTCACTATTAAAAGTGTACTGTTATGTTTCTATCTTTAATGCAATCTCTACTTTTATGATACTTTTATAATTAAGAGTTAAAGGAATTTCATCTGACCAAAAAGCTGAATGATTGCATGTCTAAGTTGCAAAATTATGTCATTATGTATTCCAACCAAACGCTGAAAATGAAAATGTCTTAAACTAAAACACCCTCCACCCAAACACACTTGGTTACCCTAAAAGCACAAAATTGTTCTTTACATTACAGAAAATTGTGTAACAAAAACTTTCATAGGGGCTTGTGCAAAAAAAAAAACAAACTATCACTAAACTACTGTTCTGCAGCATGCATAAAAAATAATCATGGGTCTGGATTCCACATAGAAATGAAAAGAATTATTCATGTTATTTTGTTTACCATTAGGTGTTCCATATGTATGATCCACCGAGGGTCCAGTTCCCTGTGAGGAGGTGGCTCCATTAGACCTGGTCCAGTCAAATTGGTCACTGGTATCTTGAGTGTAACCACACAACCCAGTCTGAAAGTTGCATGACACCAGTGAAGGTGGCGTCACAGTCCCTATAGTGACACCTGGTGGAGGGGTAGTGGGTGTGACGGCTGTAACAAAATTCATAAGGTGAGCCCCAGTGCTTGCTTTTGTGTATGACACATACTAATCTTGAGCATCTAGTGCCCTGTACAAACACAAGGAAATTATTCTAATTCTGTAGTGAAAAAGATTCATAAACACTGAATGCTTCTAAAATAATGCTCAAAGAAATTTTAAGAGGAAGATGAACCTGTAAATTTGGACATAAAACATTGTTTTTACCTGCACAAGTTCCATCCACTACTGTAACATCATCAATAGATATGTCTCCTTGGTAACCAGTCCCTCTCACACCCTCAAACACAACCTAATATGATATTTAAATTATCAAATAGGGGATTTACATGTGTGTTATCAAAGATATCTTTAAATATCTTAATAATTACTTAAATTTTCAATGATTTGGTTTCAACAAAATACAAAAATACAATAGTGACAAATGACAGAGCATTTCTATTGTTTGTACCACTAACAACAAAAAGACAAAAAGATCAGCCATGCAATAATGACACTGAATGCAATTTATATCATCATTTAAGGAAACAGCATAATTATATCACCTGTAGGTTTCTCCCTGATACTGTTCCAGAAATGTCCACCTGAGCCTGTATCCACTTGTTCCCTTGGGTGCCTTTCTTGGTCCAAATTGCCTTGCCCAGAGTTGTCCCGCTTTTGAAATACACATTCAGGGAATTGACATGGGCACCATACATGTGGTACCAGAATGACAGGCACTTGTACTGGTTCCCCAGCACCTGCAGGCCAGGGCTGGTTAGACGGGCCTTGTCACCATTCTTTCTGCCACTGGTCTCAATGTATACATAGAAGCCAGCTGGAATAAACATTGGTACCTCACTGAAGAATTTATGTGCTTAGCATTAAGGCAAACAGACTTTCATCACATGTTGTCATCCAAAATGTTAAAATATATATTATATCCATTCTTAACTTGCCTTGATTATTTTAGCATTTTAGCATATTGGGGGGAGGGGGGGGAGGAGTTTAAAATATCCACAGTATTTGTTTGGATAGCTTACACCTCATTATTTACCTTTACTTGTGTGATCCTGTGATGGCCCAGTATTCTGACTGGAGGTGGATCCTTTTTGCCTTGTCCAATCAAATTGATCGTTTGTATCTTGGCTCCATCCACACAGACTTACATCAAAGTTACAGTCAATTCCTGTAAACACAGTGTCACTTTTACCCTCTCTTAGCTATGCAAGACGTACTAATACATGATGATAATAATTTTTGTTTAAAATAAGTAGAATAATACAGTCCTTACATAACTAATGAGAAAAGTGTACATAACAGCTACGGTGCTACATGTACATTGTAATAGTTGTAGAGCAACTACTTTGGTCCAAATGATACTATTTTTGTAGTTTGGTGGTTTACACAGTAGTCACAAGGGTCAAAGCAGTTGGTAGCATGCTTTTTCAACCCTTTAAGACAGACAGTAAGTAAACATTTATAAATGGAATTTTTTCTAACTTAAGAATGTAAGGCACTGAATTTCAGGTATGCCTGAAACCCTCTACAGTTTAAGCTTTTCCAGAGATCTAAATTGTCCACCCACCTGTTTGAGCTGCCAGTGTTGTTGTGGGTGTGGTCGCTGAGCCTGACAGGGTTGTGGTTATGGTTGTAGGGGTTGTTGTGGTTGTGGTTGTAGGGGTTGTGCTGGCAGTAGTAGGTGCCTGGGTCACTGTGGGTGTGGCATCACTTGGGAGCACTAGAAATATCATGTCATAATCAAATATTTGACAAAATGATGGGCACTATTTAACTGCAGACAATTTTACTTGAACTGCGGCAAGTTTTAAATCTTAGAGTTAAAACATTTGGCCATTTTATAGAATTAAAATCTAGCACACTCACAAATGCTTAATTCATACCTGATGAACTCTTCATTGGATAATAATGATACAAATCTCTTTGATATTTTTTGAATAAAACAATCCCTGTCACTATAGTAAACTATCACTTACAGTTGCAAGGGCTGACTTTGTCAAAAGATATGTCATCTATGGCTATGTCTCCCTGGTAACCATTACCACAGACACCTTCAAATATAACCTGGAAACAAGGAAATGAAGGGTCATGCAACTTTTTTAACTGCCTTTGATGCTATAAAAATGAAACAATTTACCTAAAAAAACATTACTTATTTCAAAGTTCACAAACATTTGAACTGAATTTTTCCACATATTTTTAATAAATAAACTTTTATAATTATTGGTCAATGCTGAAAATTTCAAGCCTTAAAAAAAAAAGTCTTGATATTATCCTCGTATCAAAAACACATAGACAGGTGTCAAAGCTGCCTGACACTGGTACCTGTCAGAAGTTATGTAGGTTGGTATGGCAATTTTGACCTCAGATTTTAATTTTTTTCTGGTGTGCCAAATCAAATGTAGGTCTCTCAAATTTTCAGCATTCATTAGAGACATCATTTCCCTAAAATATCCCAAATTTCACTGCAACATCTCCAAATTAAAGTTTGAAACTGGTAGCATTTTTTTATGTTTTCTTTTTTTAGCCACCCAATATACATATGATGAACTTTATCTTGCCATGTCTTCAGGCTCATCTCTGTATGGACCAACTGTATCCAATGTAGCTAAGACAACATCTACAATCCTACTATGATGTGGATTAAGAGGAATTTTTATTAAATAAAATTATGATGCACATTGATATAAAATGTCAACTGCATTCAAGTGCTCAGGATTTTTTTATAAAAATCCATAACTATGGTTAAATATGAACTACCTGGTAAGGCCCTCCTGGATTCTGTATAGAGACCCTCCCTTCCTGCCAAGCTTGGCCAATGTTCCCAGTCTTCTCCCACAGAGGTTTAGGAGTTCCTGTGGGGTATTTGATCCACACCCTGAGGAGGCCTATGTTGACTCCATACATGTGGTACCAGAAGTGAAGGCACTGGGAACTCCCATTGAGCACCTCACTCTGCAGCATGGCATTGTCTCCCTGTACCCTGGGTCTGGAGGACTCGATGTAAACATACTTGCCTAAGACAGTGAAAGTCAAAGTCAATGAAACCACTTATATAATAAATAATGGTGCTTATATAATAAATTATTGCAAGTAAGAGAAACAAAACTGGACCAAAATAAGATAAATACCCCAAAAAAATTAAATAAAAGANTTAAGTTATATAGAAACCATTAAAAAACTAACTTCCAGTGGTGTGGTCATTAGCTGGTCCAGTCAGAGTGGACGATGTGGATCCTTTGACTCTTGTCCAGTCGAACTGATCATTCTGCAACTGTTTCCATCCACACAGACCATACTCAAAGGAACAGTTGAATGAGTTTGGTGCTAAAATAAAATAATAGATTGAGTATAACAATCAAGACTTCTATAATTAAGTTATTAACCTGCTGGTTCCAAACATTCAACTTAAATCTAAGCCCAGGGATTAATTATCATAATATTATCCTCCAGGTAAAAGTTATGAACAGCTGAATCAGGAGAAATTTGAAGTGATAAACTTAGAGAAAAAATTATGACTAACATGAAAAAACAGTTTTCAATTTTTCTTTAATTTTACAGACTCACCTGTAGATGGCGGCACAGTGACGGTGGTGGTGGCTGGTGTGGGTGTGGTGGTGAAGCTGGAGGGTCTGGCACCAGCTGGTGAGATACCACAACCTTGGGTAGACAGACTGGTGTCATCTAGAGCAATGTCTCCAGAACCACTGCCCACAACACCTTCCAGGATGATCTACAATGATCAAAGCAAATATATCCAGGCAAACCTAAATATATAGCATCACTTGTTTTGTTTGCAACTTTATTATCCGAAACATTCTGAGGCTCTCCTTCATGAAATCCTATCAACATTCATTATCTTAAAATATTCATAAATAATTTGCTCATACAAGCAAAAAAAAAAAAAATATCCAAGAAAAATGTACGTCTAAATATGTTATATGATGTCCCAGGTCAGAAATTTTGAAGGGTTTTACCAACTCCTAATAATCCCTTTCAAAATTTCTTTCAGGAAAGCTACTAATCTCAAACAAGCACCTACCACATAAGAACTCTGAGACTGAACTGGGAAGGCGCCATATCTCCACCTATTGTTTCCGCTGGCTGTCATTTCCCAGACAGTTGTACTGGTGCCGTTGGACTTGACAATGGCACGCAGGGTTCCAGCGTTGGTGTTATAGAGGTACCACCAGAACTTGAAGCATTTTGGAGAACTGCCTGTGGGGCTGAAGAGCTGACTCATCACCCTGGCGCGGTCGCCATTGTTTCGTGGTTTGCGAGCACTGATGTACATCATGCCACCTGTGGGAAGAAAAATGAAAGGTAATATGCTAGATTATCAATGCCAAATAATAGTCAACACATGTAGCAAAAAAAATACAAATCTTCGTCTTGAGAGGGTTTAGAATTGTACATCACACATCATACTAAAAGCCATATGCTCATTCTTTATAAAAACGATCCTGAAACTATCCTGTCAGTCCTTTTCCAGTATTCATGTATACTTACCCGATATTTATGGTCATTTTGCTCAATATTACCTGTTTGTGATTTTCCTTTTCAAATGTTGAACTATGGCACGGAAATTTATTCGATCCAAACACAATGACACACTAAAATCATAGTGCACTTGTTTGAGAATAGGAATGAACAGCTTTGACATACCAGCAGCAGCAGAGGTGGTATGGTCAGTCCTTGGGTTTCCCGCTGGTCTGTTATTTTTCTTGATCACCCAGTCAAAGTCGTCGCTACCATCCTGAACATTGCTGTAGGTGCACATGCCATTGTCAAAATTGCAAGAACCTGGAAAGATTTATGTCTGATGAGTGAGCATTTCTTTGCAAATTGACTGCCATTGACTCATCCAAAACAGTTTTGTTATAAAATTTGAAGATTTGTTTCCATGCACTGCTCACCTTAGAAAAAACAATATTTTGTAAAAGATGCAAACAAATGGCAAAAAAAAAAAATGACAACAAAGAATGCAGTAGATTTTGCTAGCAAAAGGTATAAATGGACCAATGAGATCCATGAAACTAAAATAGTGCACCACTTTTGATGAGTTGGTGATTATCACTCTTAGTTTAAAAATAATATAGAAGGTTGATTTGAACAATGTAACTCTCTACTCTTACCTTCTGGTGGGCAGTTTCCAGGTGTCGTAATAATATCATCCAAAGCTATGTCACCTCTGTAGCCTTTGTCTCGGATGCCTTCAAACACAATCTGCAAGGAGACAGATTTCATAATTTTAGAAACCATTTCAGATATCTAAAATCTAAGTTCATAAAGATTACTGGGTATGTATGATGAGATAGTATTGTTGGAGGTTGAAAAAATAACCATAACTGCTCAAGTCCTTTCATAGGGTTGACTAATATTCAAAGATTTTTGGCCACATTCTCTTAAATTTCTTTGTCCAAACAATATACCCAAACATCAGGCCTATTTCATAACATATTTAAAGCTTGAAGCAAATAGCCCAACCCCAATCTGAGCTATTTATTTCAAGCATCTAGCTAAACTACAGTACTGAATCTTTTCACAATTGATTACATAAATTCAATATAGATGTCTTATTGTCAAAAGAACTTTAATTAAAAAGCCTCCTAACCTGGTAAGATGACCTTTGGTTAAGCTGGACCTGTGCCACCTTCCATACATCTCCCTGGTCATAGCTGCTGCTCCACACTGGTTGTCCCAGGTTGGTGCCACTCTTCATGTACACATTGAATGTGCCTACATCACCTCCAAACATGTGGTACCAGAACTTTAAGCACTGACGGCCAGCACCTCTGATCATGGGAGAGATCAGTCGAGCTTTGTCATTTGGAACACGCGGACTAGATGTTTCTATGAAGACATAGTAACCTGAAAGTAGGAAATTGAAGATATAAACAGCATAACAAGTATGAGAAGTTCAGCTATTCAGAAAGCATGAGCACACAAAAAAGTAAACCTCACTATTAAAGGTGTACTGTTATGTTTCTATCTTAAATGCAATCTCTACTTTTATGATACTTTTATAATTAAGAGTTAAAGGAATTTCATCTGACCAAAAAGCTGAATGATTGCATGTCTAAGTTGCAAAATTATGTCATTATGTATTCCAACCAAACGCTGAAAATGAAAATGTCTTAAACTAAAACACCCTCCACCCAAACACACTTGGTTACCCTAAAAGCACAAAATTGTTCTTTACATTACAGAAAATTGTGTAACAAAAACTTTCATAGGGGCTTGTGCAAAAAAAAAAACAAACTATCACTAAACTACTGTTCTGCAGCATGCATAAAAAATAATCATGGGTCTGGATTCCACATAGAAATGAAAAGAATTATTCATGTTATTTTGTTTACCATTAGGTGTTCCATATGTATGATCCACCGAGGGTCCAGTTCCCTGTGAGGAGGTGGCTCCATTAGACCTGGTCCAGTCAAATTGGTCACTGGTATCTTGAGTGTAACCACACAACCCAGTCTGAAAGTTGCATGACACCAGTGAAGGTGG